TGATATCGTTAGACTGCGTGCCATTCTAAAAAGATTCAATTACCTGCAACCTGACTAAGTTTGAGGCTCGCCAACCACGTTTACGATTTTTTCTTGATGTCCGTGGAAAGCAGTAGCCACATGCCCTGCAGTAGCGGGATGTTGTTTATCGGAACCTGAATTCCCAAATGCTACGAATAAAGCACATGGAAGTATCAACGAGAAGAAACTTTACTACTTTTAGTCTAACACTGAATTGTAGCACTTAGTTTTAGAGCCTAAGGAGTAGAAGAATAAAGCTTACGGAGTTAGCTGCTATCTCAAAATATGTATCATACATTCGAGTCCATTCGCGACATTTTGAAAAGGAAAATGAATGCATAATTAGTCCACACGATTTTGTGAGGCACATTGACATATGAATCTGCTGTTACATTCACCCATACGGATCTAATACCAATTATCTCCTTCGGAGTGATAGAGGGTCTCGTTTGACCAAGGTGTGGAATTGAAACTACAGTTATTATCTAACACAGTACACTATAACCACTGCACTAAGTGTGTAATCGCCGCATTGAATCGTCTCCTAATTGTTTTGGCACTATTGTTTTACCCAGTATTTTATTATTCCAAAACAGGTTACTGTCAAAAAGCTGTAGTATGTTAGAAAATGTTTATAGTAGCTTGGACAGACACTTGAAGGCCGTGTCGCCATGGCCCACAGCTCGCCATCTAAATAAAATGGGCTACCGAAAAGTGATTCCTTGATGGGTACGTCAAGCACTGATCGACCACCTTCCGTTGCAAAGTCGACTCTCCACATTTCGAAAAAAATTGAGAGGGCCACTGTATCCTATACACCTACAGCTCTGATAGCCCTCCATCGAAATGTCATCTCTCCGCTCCCTAGAGCATCAGCCTCCCTAAAGCATCAGCGCAAAAGCCCAGCCTCCGACTTTTTTGATTGGTAGCTTTACTCTTTTTGGAAATGATCCAGTTTTTACTCAGATCAAGCAAATAGCAATCGAACGAACAAAAGTGTCGAGATATAAAAGAGACTACGGGATAGCCCAATAAAGCGTTGAAAATACGATTCAGTCCGGTGAAAACGATATGATAGCCATACAATTGACAATCGTCTAAACTCAATTACTAAGATTGGATATGAGTCAAGAGAGTCTTTGAGAAGTTATTGCGTCCAGCTGCATATTGCCATTGGACAGTGAGCCTGTTCACTGAATCTAGGATTTCAAAGTATTCATTTCTTTTTCATTTGCCTAAGATTTCATTATGGGAAACAAAATGGCAATAATTGTGTGTACCATAATTTGGACGAATTGCGTATAACTCCTTCAGTTCTTTGTCAAGGCGTTTCCATGCGTATTCTGATGCTTTGTAGTTCAACTGAAACATCTATTAAGAGAAGCTAAGAAATCATTTTCCTCAATAATTCTGTCAACTTACAACACTACTCTCTGTCATATCTTTCTGGCTCTGAAGCGTTTCGACTTTCTGGGCAGTTTGTAAGTTTGTTGTACTTTTAATTACAGTTGTTTGATGCTTCAGTAGTGTTTTAGAAGAATAGTGATAGTTTTGTGAAATGTGTAAGCCTGGGATATCAATTGTTCTTTCGTAAATAAATTGAAACTTTCTCTCTTCGTTTGTTGCTTCCATGAGAAGGTCGGTATCGTACCCCTCGTAGGCAAATCGCACATGTAATGGCGGGAGCAAATGTGATACTCTAAGCAGCAAATTATATCGTGAGGCGTTACCTTTTATAGGTTTCCCCCAATTCATAATTTAGGATAACTGTTATTCTCCTCGTTGTGAACATCACGCATTCGCGTTGTAAATGTCTACACTACGTTCGCTATACATATCTCTTCTCTATTGCTTTATCTCCACAATCAATGAAATGCTATAGACACACTTTTCATTTGATGACTTCATTAGCTTAGGTCTTGAAACATCAGTGAATCGTTGGTCTAGGAAATGGAACTCTGGTCTGAGACGCTCTAACTTTGAAGATTATTTGAAGTCAAATCTTCTATCAATAACTGTGAACCACTATGCAGTTTTATTGTGCATTATATATTCAAACCTGATTTTTTCAACGCCTTGACTTTCAAAACCCAATCCCATTTACGACAGGCGACATTACATCTAGAATTTAAGCTCCCACTAGTTCTTAGTAATGTCCTCGGGTTTATTTTTTACTGCAAATTCATTTGCTTCTCTGTGATGTTGAACAGTAGCGCCTAGAGATCTCCTAAGTACTAAGAACTATATCACAAGCAAACAACATGAATTTGCTCTAAAGATAAATAAACCTGACAACACTATCAAGAACGATGTGGAAGCTTACATTCTAGACGTAATGCTGTATATCTTCGCATTAGGATAGTTGGATAAACTCGGCGGCACTACTAAGAATTATGTGGAAGCTTATATTCTAGATGTAAAGTTGTGTGTCGTAGTTGGAATTGAAACAGTGGAACTTAAAGGGTAAGAAAATTAGCTGTGCTCAGATTGCGAAATCACGTGGTTGGAGTGTACTGTAACTGCATACTACACAGCTTTGCTCGAGCAAGCCAGTTATGTCGTTGCGAGTGTTTTGTAAAAATGTTCTTCTGTACTTATATTTCGTATTGTTATGTATCTCAAACCCGCCCTTGTTGCCAAGAGGAGAAAGAGCCTTTTGTGCGTACTAATTTTTATAACTCAAGCGTTTCCTTGGAAAGTTCTACCATGACCAATATAGTCACTTTTTGAACCGATCCCTCGCTGGTCTAGCATCGCTGAAAGACACTTTGATCGTGCCTAGTAGTACTCACTTCAGGAAGAGACTGTCCTGGTGCAAGCGGTTGTTGATTCACACTAAGGTTGGTAGCGTTAGTTTTCGAATTTCCATACAGTCTATGAGATTCTCTGGTGTGTTCAGATGAGATGCAGTACGATGATTCGATTAGTCCTAAGAATGGATGTTATAACAATTCAATTATGTCGTTGTGGGTGTTTTGTGAAGAAGTTTTGCTGCACTTATAGAAAATGCAATATAAAAAAATCTCAAAAACTATCTCACGCTTGCTAGGCTCCACTGGTTTCAGGGCGGAATAGTGCTCTGGTATTTGTGGTGGAGCGATCAAACGTCGGCATTCCACCGCATCCTGTTCAACGTGACGAAGTGGGACCTAAAAAAGAATGGGAGGGTTTGATGAAGAGTTTTGAATTACTGAAGACGTTTATAATTCATTGGACATCGCTTTTGATCTTAATAAATCCACTAACCGATGAAGCAGATGGAAAGTAAAAGCTTTCAATGAACGTCGAATAGCTCATTGTGAGAAATTACACAGCAATAATGGTGAAACCTAACTGTAAAACCTTTTTATAGCCATAACTGCTATCATTGCTAATTGTGAAATAAAACACAGCGCTTATCATTAGGTTCATAGTGAGATAATGTTTAGTAAACTGATAGATGGCAAACTCCTTAGAAAATGGTAGCTGCTTTTGTACGTGATACAGTAGGAAATAAAAGACTTTGGTACTCGATTCACTCAACCCTGAGGAACTTGGCAAGAAAAAGTGTAGCAATGTACGACGATAGCTCAATTAGGCTGAGGTAAAGTCTGCGTTCAGAACAAACATCATTGACTAAGCCCTTAAGATTCCCTTGTTTTGCTGATTCTACAGTGTTACGATATTTTATACATACATCTATGAATATTGAGTAGTAAGTAAAACATCCGACCCCATGCTGGAGTTGAACCTACGTTTTATCCATACCGTGATGGGGTATAGGTACAACGCAGGTTGAATTCTCGCCTGGGTCGAATGTTTTGTGTGCCACCCAAAATTTTCAGATGTGTACTATTGACTGAATATAAAAAAATTTCGAGCAGTTTTTCTAATGATCATAAGTATTACGAAATCTACCACCACCGATTGACTTATCAATGTTTCCGTCAGCGACGTCGGCAAGATTGATTTGTTCAATCATCAAATAACCATTTTTTTGCCCTACACAAGTTACTCGACAGGTTTGATTATTATCAAGTCATATCACTATATTTTCTCTAAGATGTTTTCAAATGCTCATGAGCATTTGAGCCTGAGCAATCCATTTCACACTCACTAATCGATATATCATTAACTAAAATGGTTGTAGTTAGTTATAAGTTATACAATTTCCTTCGCCATTCTTGTGCATCGGAGATCCGTCAAAGGAATATTGTAAAATGACTTTCCCTGAATCAGAAGAAGATCAACAACCGAATTTAGGCAGAGCTGCATCCAGACTTTCCAAACGATTCACTCTGATACAGCGCGTCCTCGTGAGATCTGAAATAGATGAATCTCATTTAGAAATATAGAGATTTTATTTCAAAAACGGTTATTAAAGTAAGTTTATGAGAGTGTTTTCCTACACGCTAAAAATCAAATATGTCTCACAATTACTATTTGAGACAGCATATCATGTGGTCTTGCATGAGCTCTTGTATAGCGCGATACACGTGTTTCGGCCTTGTATCCTCGTCAGTCGGGCAGGTCCTTCGTCTCTAGCCAGTCCTCTCGGGGGACCCTACAACCACCTATGAAGAGTAGGAGACGACGAACGATTTACACAATCGCCGTCAAGTAGAAAAATCACTGGATCGGCAGCTTTCGACACTCAATTGCTCTTGACTGGTATATTTGAAATATTGTACCATTTTTTCGCATGTTCTCTTAAGACCACAATCAAAATTTAGTATATCTCATTATATTGCAATAACCATGATATCTTTTATGTAGGGGTCCTTGAGAGGATTGGCTATAGACGAAGGCCCTGCCCTACCGACGAGGCTGCAAAGCCAATACACGTGTATGGGGCCGTACAATAGCCCATAACAGACCGCATGACATGTTGGCTCAAATAATAATTATGAGATAAAATGAAAATCTTCTATTTAACAGCTTTTAGCGGTGGTACGATGTTATAGATATGCCCAAAGACGAAGAGTGATGTGCAAAATTTTTGCGCCACGCTGGACTTGAACTCACATCTCACTCTATTCGAGAGTGCGTGCTCTAACCCGTTGCACTACTGACGCCCATTTTGCACACCACTGTTTCTGCACTACCCTCTTTCTAAGTTTTGCACATCATTCCATATCTTTCTTAATTATGAGATAAATTCATGCTCTTTTGGCAACAATTCCATCACAAAACTGGTAATTTCTTCTAACTGAATAAATATTGTCATCTCTCAATGACAGAAGCGATTTGTTTTATCAAATACATTAGTTGTTGCTTTTTTTTTACCACACCATTTCTATGATCCGAATGAAGTGGAGCAAGAATACATGTTTGAAGAAGTAGTCATAAAGAATCCTCCCAAAACCATGTAAGGGTGTGGGCAGGCAAGGTGTATAAATCTTTCTTTACACTGCTGTTCACAATGTCTTTTGTGCTGCTATGTCTTTCTTTCACTATAAAAAGTTAATTTAATTTAAAAAGTTAATTTTCTCCATTAGATAATCCTGCATGACCTATCAAAAGTTGAACTGGGACTACAGGAATTGCTAAGCCCTTCCATTCTCCCAGAAATTGCAAATTTGATGCACGACCTATCCAGTTGTACAAAAGTACTAATTCGAGACGTTGATGGGGCTCGATAAATCATAGTATCGATCAGAAAATCATTTACTCAACGCATGGTGCTCCGGTGCAGTAAGATGCATCGATCAGCCCTAACCAACCGTTCAACTTTAAGCTCCTTATTCTTTAAAAGTCTCATTTTCGCTTTTACACTGAATTATCACCATTCTTCTTGTTCGTAACGAGCTTTCAAACTAATTTCAACACTCATGATAATATGTGAGCAAAATTGCTGGCTTGAGGTGCCCGTAATTAAAAATTGTGGACGTAGTAATCATGAAACTACTGTTTCTTTCTGTTATCGGTTGTTATTGAAAATTTTATGATAAAATGTCTTTCTGGTGTGAACGCTACTTGGAGCGATTTTACAGTCGTTACCTCAGTATCAGTCTAATCCGTTTAACACCTCATTAGCTCATGCAAGAGTTGAGAAAATGTACATCATGAAACCATTATCATAGATGCTTGTCAACATCGAGTAACAGGGCTAATGTCGCATGGATAATCTAGGATTTTTAGAGATTCATTTTGATCAGTAAGGCAATGTGATTACATGGAAATCAGCGTGTCGAACGTTTTGTACTGAGAGCACTACGACACTTCAATCCGCGCCCAATGTGGTCCACTATGGATGGTTTATCAATATTTTCTTTGCTCCTCTGCATTAGCTACCATAACTGTGTTGTCGGTAACCCGTAAATAAGGTTTACTAGGACAAGAATCAGGTGGGGTGTGAACGCGATGCGTAATGCCAACTACCGATGAACATAAACCGTTTACGAATAAGTTCCGTGGAATGGCAAAAGCATAAGAGGTTGAGTTTAATCTGATTGTCAGGATTTTTCACGGAGATTCTATGAGAAATATCTTATGCTCAAGGACTCTGTTTAGCTATCAGACCCTAGTGTTATAGTCTTTTAGTAAGAGTGATCTCCCATTATGCTCATTGTATGCTAACTACTAATTCGTTTTCCCAAGAAATCAATGAAATTTTATTTGGAAGGCTGGATAAAGGACAGTCATATAAGCAAGCAAGCTTTTGAAAAAGCAATAAATGAGCTTCGGAGAATCCACAAAGTGACGCTTTCTTTCATCTGCATCGACTTAAAACTTCATGTCCAAAGATTACATCAATTATTGTAAAAAAGGTTAACTAGAGATACTCATAGAAGGGTTATTTCGTTGCTAAAATGCATCATTACAACAGAACCAAAGTATATTGTCTGGGTCTACATGTCTTTGAGAAGTTTCTAAAAAACATATTCATAGAGTGAATATTGTGACAATTCCAGAACACTGCAAGTGTCAATGAAAAATTTGTCGATAGATGCTCGACTAACCTCACAATTAACTAAACTAAGATTTTGCGCATGCATAGAAATGCGTCGTACTGTATTGAAATATTTTGAATTGCCTTACCATTTCCTTCACACTACTCTTTTATTAGGTTTTCTTTATTTCAAATGAGGTTCCTGTCAAAAGGCTGTGTTATGATCTTGGGAATGGTTTCGTAGCTTTAGCCAGATACTTATACCTCAGATACAGATGCGATCGTAGCACCATCGCTCGCCGTTTAAATGAAATGGACTACTGCAATATACTGTCTTAATAAATGCCTTAAACGTTGACAGGCAACCTCACAATGCAAACTCAACTCGCCACACTCTGAAAAAACTGTGCTGAAACCAGGGCACCGCTTACTCTGTTTGTGCCTGAAATCGCTCCATCGGTATATCACCTCTTCCGCACCCTTAAGACAGCATCTGCGGGAGGATAACTCTAAAGACTACAATCAAATCATGCCTCGCCTTAGTGGGAGAAAGGCATCTAATCTTTGCCTAGTAATGTTTGCATATCAGTGATCATGATTACGATTATATTGTCGCTTTGAATGGTTTTTTTTCAAAAAATAATAACTGATTTCAAAAGTGTCGAAATACGAAAAAATTATAGGACAACCCAGTACAGTAGTGTCTATTATAGAGCCCTCTTTTTTCAGGTCATGAACAAATTTCTAGCCACACTAGCCGTTGTTTTTTGCGTACTGGCAGCTAATTCAATTACGGACGTGGATATAGAACTGCCATTGCGTTCGGAAAAGACTGCAACAGAGAATATTGACTTCATGTCAAGGTGCGCGAAGCCCCAAATGGGAAGTTGGTTTGTGATAAACGTGAATCTGTGTAAGAAGAATCGAATAAAAAAAATGGAAAGCAATATATTTTCGAACATTTTTAACGCGATTCAGCTGGGAAATGATAGTGATTTGTTTTATTGTTAGAGATCTATAGCGATCCCACCAGTTTTAGTCTCCTAATGAAAATTTTTGCCAGTTTCACTTCAACAGCATTCCGCAAACCTATTCTCTTCCTAAATAGTCACACCAACCAATAGATGTTGCCTCCTAATCGACTGTTTCGGTGAACCTCGTTACAGAACTAATATATATCTGAGAGCTGTCTAAGCCTTTTCGAGTTATAATATGTCAGTGGCTTACGCACGTTTCAGCGGTCTCGCCCACATCATGAGAGCATCAAGTTCCATTGACCACCACTACAAAGTAGAGAGCGGGCAAACACAGCATATTAGGACCAGACAGCGTCAAAGGTTGTCTGAGAAGACGTTCGATCGAAAGGCGATATCTATTATCAAAGACAGCGGTGTACCATTGACTGTGGAAAAAGATTAAATCGTTCAGACAACATTTCACATCGTCTGGTTTTAACATGTCGTGTTTTGCCGTTCTCATTATTGAGGAGGGAGGGGGAAGGGGAAAGGAGGCTGTAGCTCTAATGAGGTAGGCCAGATCGCCGAAACGTGTGTAAGCCACTGGCATACCGAAACCTCGATGAGACTCAAAAGCGTTCTTTGGACTACATCCAATAGATGATAATTTTGGGATTTTGGGTGTGAATCTTCAATGGACAATAGTGGGTCATACGTAGGAGACTTCTCTTTTCATCATCGTTGTGAAAAGGCACCATCTTAGCTGCATCAACTGTACCGTACACTGGAATATCTACCTCTAATCTTTCAAAAAACAGTACCATAGCCGTCGACTCTATAGAAAAAAATTTCGATGAAGCAGCGGTGTGAACACTGATCAAACATTGTTCCGCATAGTCTTTGTGATGATGGAGCATTTGAAAAATTCAAGTATATATCAAAAAGGACTTGCTTCGCTCGGCAAGGTCCCTTTATTTTCGATTATTATCTGCTAACAAAATGGGTCGAAGAAGATTTGGTTGATTTTGCTCTACATGAGATCTAAGATACAATGGCTCTTCAACATGGAACTAACTCTAGAAACTGACGAAGGTGATAACCATTCAGTTATCAATGGCAACTCTTGCCTTCCAAAGATGCAAGCGACTGTGATAGAATTGACAATTTACGGAATTGAACTCTGCTCATTTAACGGCACCCACAATTACACGTAGACGGTATGAAAAATGTTCGCGCAACTGATGCCGACGAGGTGAACGAAAGCGAACAAAAAACAAAGTCTGGTTTGTCTGGAGCTTGTATTCTCTTTTAACGTCAACAAGTAGAAGTTTGCTATGACAAGCATTAGCTGTTGTCCAATGGCCCTGCTGAGGTGAAACAAAATCACACCCTCTCCATCAAAGTTGCTTCAAAAGAAGGCAGTGATCAGTCATGTAAGACAAAAGCGAAGTCATTCACCCTCGCCGTCTGTACCACGGAGAAACCATCATTCAAAAGAACAAAGTTCATTACTACAACGTCTAAGTTCAAAATTGATCACTCGAAAATAGACAGTACTTTATGACAAATGATATTTGGTTTGCATAAAACATATGTGCTAAAATATTTTAACTTATACTGTGATAGGCTTGATTTTAGATTTCTTCTTATTACAATCGTCGTTGAATGTGCCGTCAATATGCAAAGTAGTCATATTTTGATTATTTATTCTGATTTGTTTTATCAGTCCGCCTTCACAGTGTTTTTTTTTTCACTGCACGAATCCCAGTGCTTTTGCATTAAATTCATTTTCGTCTTTTCTTGAACGCTATAAAATATTGGTTGAGCGAACCTCCTTGCAATTTCAGGGATAGCCTAGCTGTGACGTTCTAGGACGTTGTTGACTGCCGGAAAGAGGTGGGGAGTGGAGCTTATCTCCACGCGCGCCGCAACGAGCTTCATAACCACTTGACCACCCACAGCGCCCCGTTTTGCCTATTAGACCGTGCCTATTGAACAGTTCGTTTAAGGCTAGCATGTATCGACGTTGTTATGAGAAAAACTAGCGAAGAATTTCTTAGCTATCAGTAAACTAATACCAGCAACGTACTTCTTACTAGCGTCTCTGACATCAAGCAGCAAGATCATTACACCAAACAAATCTTGTGCTGAATTTGACGCCATTGCACTTGAATTATAACCTCATGTCCAAATCTTTCTCCCCCCTCGTTCCCAATCAACTATGCGC